CACAGAGTCAAACCTTCTTTTCTGGGGACAATGTGTAAGGGGCAGGTGGCAAAATTATCCTACCACTTGCATTAATTTTTGGTTGTAAGTCAGGTTGTATACCAATATCTTCCAAGTCCAACCTTGCTTGAAGATGGTCCTTTGACTACCCTTTTTCATTTAGAGATGTAGAAACACAACTCCCACCAATATTCTTTTGGTTAAATCCCCATTTTGATCTCTCAACTATTATATGGACCCTCGATTTATTCTCTCAACTCAAAAAATCCTTAATTTAGTCTCTACTATTTACCATTTTAACCCTAATTTGATTCTTCCATTAAAAACCTACCTACGTGTTCCATTATTTGACATGAGAAAGATGACATGTAAAATTATTTTAACATATAGGATGTATAGCATGGCAAAATTAATGATATGACAAGAAAACACCTTAAAAAAATTTTTTTTTTTTTCCTTCCTTTGTTTTTCCTTTTTGCTGGGTTCTTCCTTTTCCTTTCCTTTCTGTTACTCTAAACCCTAACACTTGAAACCACCTTCGATTTTCCTCACCAAATCAATTCATCTTCTTCCACTTGATTTTCCTCACCTCTTTCTCTTCCAGATCTAGTTGTTCGTCGCCCATTGCTTGCCGCCCAACAGATCCAAAAGTACCACAAATCAAATCTCAAAATCTACTCCAATCCAATGGAATATGGCTCTTTTATGTAAGGGTAGCAAAAACAATTGTTAAAATCTTCTTCAAGGGAATGAATAAAGTATTAAATTAATACCCAAAAAATAAAAAGATAAAAAATAAAACTTTCTGAAGCTCTGTTTGTTTCTTGGGAAAATAGAGGGAAAATGAGTACAAAATGGGAACATTTGCAAAACCTAGGGGGAGAAGACGATGAAGGATTCAGCTACAAAGAACGATGAATCTAAGGAAAACTCAAGCTAAGACTTAAACCCAGATGTTCTTTATCAACCATCATGTTTTCTCTCTCACCAAACAAGATCCAAGAAACAAAGTATGTTTTAAGATTTCATATTTAAGAAGAAAAAAGGAGAAAAGTTGCTGGGTTCAAAAGAACCCAACGATTGTTAGGTTCAAACCCAACGACTATTGGGTTCGAAAGAACCCAGCGACTATTGGGTTCGAAAGAACCCAACGATTGTTGGGTTTGAACTCAGCAAAGCTTTCGAACCAAACAGCTACTAGGTTCAAAAAGACCCAGTAGTGCCTGCTGGGTTCCAAGTTCTTGGCTCTGCTTCTTTGCTCTGCCTTTGGGATCTCAGATAGTAGGTTCATAGAAGGTATAGGAAAGGAAGAGGAAAGAGAACCAAGATCTGGTGTTGGGAAAGGAGAGAGAAAATATAAGGATTTAGATTTTAGAGGATGAAGAAATGGGTAATACAGTCATTTTATTATGTTTAGAGATTATTTAAATAATTTTTTTTGCCAAGTCATGTATTTTGCTACGTGTTAAATTCCACGTATTTTATTTATTAAAAAGACATGCCCCGCTGTTAGTTAACATGCCACGTCAATAAAAATTTAATGGAAGAATCAAATTGGGTTTAAAATAGTAAATAGCATGGACCAAAGCAAGAATATTTTAAGTTGAGAGATTAAATCAAGAGTTTGCATAATAGTTAAGGAACCAAAATGAGGTTTTAACTTTTTTTTTTTTTTTTTTGTATGTATAAAGTCAATTACGTGATGAATTAAGTTAAACTCCTAATATGGGAGTTCAAAAAAATTCTCTGTTTTTTCCATGCATCCCCATCATTGGGATCTTCTCCTTCTTCATCTTGTATATCTAATGACATAACTAGACTCCCCTTTTTGCACTTTAAAATAAATCCTCTTTTATGCATCTTTCCATGAAAGAATTCACGAATTTTAGCTGCCTTAATATCTCTATATCAGACAAAAGATCAAGAGTTGTTCTGAATTAGTTTCTGTCGTCAAAAGCTAATGCTTGATTTCTAAAACAATGCCTTTGTTCTAGCCATGTTCGGTGCCCTAGTTAACATAATTTCTTCCCATTCTTCAACCAGCTTGAACACGTCTTCTCACCACAATGAGGACAACCATAACAAACTTTAGTTCTCCTACTCAACAAGAATGCCATTGCTTGAAAGTCATTAATTATTCACATTAATGCTGCCCGCATGTTAAATGTTTCTTGAGATGTTACATCAAAAGTGGCAACACCTGCCCACAATTCCTTTGATTCAACAATTAAGGGTTGCGAGTACACATCAATGTCATTACTTGGATTTTTTTGGGCTTGGAATTATCATGGACACGATAAAATATGATTGTTTCATACACAACCAAGGTGGGAGGTTATAACGAATTAAGACAACTAGCCAAATGCTATATGTATTGCTCATTAATCTAAATGGGTTGAAGCCATCACTTGCAAGACCAAACCTAACATTACGGGGGTCTTGAGCAAAATCTATATACCTATCATCAAAGGCTTTCCTTGCTTGTGAGTCCACAGGATGTC